TTTGTGGGGTCTGCCACGCCTCCTTCTGCCTGTTACATACATTTCAACAAAACCATTATACCCTGATTTCCCATTTTCAATGGGTTCAGGGTATACCTTGATACCGAATGATATGCGATTTTATGTATAAGCAGCTTTGTGTGTTTAAAACTGAAAAAGTGCAAGCTTAGAAATATTATTTTCCCCCTCAAAAAGAAGTAATAAAGCTCTAGGCGAATCTACTGGATTACGAGATCCCTTGAACCCTTGAAATTATAAAAGTTTTTAAGTATTTAATTCATTGGAATCTTACGGATAAAAATGCATGTATCAAATGTGCCTTGACTGTGGCAATAGGTTTGCCTTTTACCAATATGGTAAATGTCTCATCTTTCTCAGTAGTTATTAGGTTACCAAACCAAGAACGTTTAGTAAGCTCTGGTGAAGACTCCGGTGTTAAGTGTACCTCGTCAGCGGAGACTGAAAAATGGACAGATCGATCAGTAGAAAAGCTAAACCTGTATATAAATTAAAAATACCCTGCATTTTCCTTCGATGAAAACGCGGACTACCAAGAAAGCTGTTTTTTATATTAGTAAGTCTCGTTTTCCAAAGTTGTCCTCCAGGCGTATTGCAGGGTGGGCCAGGGTTGCCTGGATTGCTATTATTAGTCAGCGGTAGAACATTTTGATTCACAACTGTATAATAAATGAATAAAATTGATTTGCATTCTATAAAAAGAAAAAATACGGAGAAAATTTGGTTTTAATCATACCAATAGAAATTGTTGAACCAGAATTTGTTCGATTATGCACGGTAGGTATAGCTGCAGCGGAATTCCCGCACGAATCACCCAGATTGCTAGGCAATTCGCTACGGTCCCAGGGAGAACCGCTACCACTGCGTTCTTGAGCATGACGTGTTGAATCACGGCGCTCCAAATGCGGCTCTCTAACGACTACGACATCTCCTTCAATGCTTTTCTGTGAATTATGAGACGGCGTTCGGCTGACCGCCGTATGATGCCCCGATCCAGAACGATCTCTATCACTATAAGTTGAATGTCGTGAACCAGCGGCAGGAGAGGTAGGTCGCGATATAGCATTAGCTTGTTGCTGCGTTAAGCTTATTGGTGAATTACATCGAGTTGGACTGTGGTATGATGAGCTGCGTACTGACGTAGACACCGTTGTAGGAGAGCGCCTTTGATGATTGCGTGTACTACTGTACGATCTAAAACTATTTAATAACTTTAAAAGTCAGTCAACAGTAATGAACGAGTTAAAGGAAAATTACTTAAAGGCCTGTCGTCGAGGCGTAAGTGGAGAGCCTTCAGAAATTTGACCGTAGCTCGGCGCATTTGTACCATTAATACGACATTTATCTAATCTTTTCCGGGGTGGATCCACTGTATCCAGTTCATTGCGTGATTTCTGATTTATTTCTTCATCATCTTCAAGGGCCGGGCGGCGTCGCTTTCGTTCAAGGAGCAGAAAATAAATTACCTTCTCAGTATTATGGCTGTAAGTAAAGAGATATTAATCGGATTTTCATGTACGATGAATTATTCAGCACCTGGCGCTCAACAGTTCTTGTAAAAGTTTTTCCTTTTCCTTAAAGCATCCCAGGGAGCATATAGCATTTAAAACATCAGGATCTACAGCAGTGGCAGTAGGTATAACATGTGTTTGCACCACCTCCATCATGGGCAATTCCAGTTCCAACTCACCTTTACCACCAGCCGTAACCCAGACATGACGATTTATTTCGGCTAACTAAATTACATATGTATGGAAATAATAAATAAGTTGTACATTATATATAAATAAGAATTATAGCGGTAAATTAATCACTAGACCTAAATCCTATTTATTAGCCCAGATATTTAGAACAAGTAAGAAAGCTATAGTCAAGACTGATCGACTACGAGATCCCTTGAACCCTTCGAGCAAAAGCTATTTCAATTATTTTTAGCGTCTTTCTGCTTAAACTAGAAACACGCACACTTACACACGCATACACACACACATATACACACACACATATACACACACATACATGCACACACACAAGCATCCACGCATAAACACGCATTGGCTGCAGTGTACGTTTACTATGAGCACTTAATTGTTTAATAACTTTTTGTGGACGTACTTTCTTCATAAAACTTTCAGATTATGGTTATAACATAGATGTGCATGCATTTGCCAAAGCACAAGTCTCTAGTATTTGAAATATGCCTTTTACAAATGTGTGGGTGAGGGGGTGGAAATTGAATAAAATATAAGTATACATTTAAAACTTGGAGACTCTAGCGTTAAAGATGTASCAGATATAATTTGAAAACTAATTTTTGGTACGGTTTTTTATCGGTAAAAAATAACGGGATGAGTTATCGATTTTTG